TTTGTAATAGCCAGAGATCAGAAATAATCTAAATGTCCTTCAACAGGAACTTGTTAAATCAATGATGGCAAGAATACAGAATGGCACGTGATACAACGTGATAAAAGACAAGGACACTCTTGGTCACGCTGAGGTGTGCGGGATGGTCAGAGACTGCACGGTGGAGTAGTTAAAAGCACAGACACACACCTAAGTGCACATCCTCCTTCCCTGCTCTGTCACTTGGCAAGCACAGGAAAGCGACTCCACATCTTTAGGCTTTAATAGTGATAGTAATCCTCACATCTTTATTGTGAGGATTGAATGGATCGGTATTTTTGTATCACTGTAGAGCAGTGTCTGGTGGCTACTTTACTAAAGTGTGTGTTAAATAAACTAAAAATATACCAATATAGAATGACTTCCAAGATGTACTGCTAAATGAAAAAAGGACATATAACAGTCTGGGGAGAGTGCTAATGTTTCATCAGTTAAGAATAGCCAATGTCACGTACATGTGTATGTACCTAGAACATCTCTGTAAGGAGAAATACGAACCTGATACAAATCTGTTGCATCTAGAAGAGTTTGGAATCAGGGTTCCAGGAGTAGACTATACTTTTATACCCTCTGAAATTTGAACCAGGTATTTTGTATTTTAAAAAAGAAAAAAATTAACACTTAAAGTAGACAGTTTAGAAGAATATGTAGCAACATGGAAAATGTGTACAATTCAATATTAAATGGGAACAGCAGGATATGAAACCATATATTCTGCAATGCTATGATTTTCTCTGCAAAGGGGCAATGAGAACACAAGAAATCTGTGTTGTTGGGTTTGTTGCCCAGCACTTAAGATGCTGAACATGTGATGATGATGGTGGTGGTGACTGTGGTGGTGGTGGTGATGAGGATGTCTACCGCTGTCAGCTACACCAGTCAATCCATTCTGAGATGTTCAGTCTCCTGGCCACCCCTTAGTTCAAACTTTGGGGGAATGTGGAGAGAGCAGGAACTTTCCTCTCCTCTCCAGGGAGCTGTCTGCCAACCTGCTTTGGACTGTTCGTTCCCCCGGGTTCAGGTTTACCCCCAGCTCTTGCTGCAGACAGTCTCTCTATCACTTCAGGGAGGTGGCTTCCTGTCCCCTTGGCCCAGCAGTTTCAGACTCTCCCAGGATGCCCCAGTTCAGGATCTCAAGTCCCTCTCCAGACTCCAGCCTTCTGAGACCATCAAGCAATTTGGCACCACAGCAGGGGGAGAAGATCACTAATGAGCCCCTGGGGCTTTGGCTCAACCAGACCCTTAAGTGGGCCCTGGGAAACCTATTAAGTGACTCTTTTCTTATTGAGAGTCCCTGGGAGCAGAAGTTGGAAGATGATGGGAGAAGAGGGAGAATGAGTGGAGTCTGTTGGCTCCTGGCTCCTACCAAACCTCTCTATAGTCTATGCCGCTACGTTCTTATTTTTATTCATAGAGGAGCTGATATTTGATCTTGGCCTTGAGGAATGAGTAGATTTCCAGATGGGGAAGGGACATCTGACATGGAGAAGGACGTGTGAGGTCAAGGAGGAAGGAGTGGCTGGGGCTGGTGCAGGTTGCTCTGTGGCTCACAAGTAAGGAGTGGGGCGGAAGACAGTGGAGGGTGAGGCCAGAAACGTCCAGTGGGTTCGTATCGTGACGGTTGGAACTGGCGTTTCTTCCAACCAGAATTCAGGCCACCTTCTCAATGCAGACTGGATCTCTCCCTCTCTCAGGAGTCACTGCTCAGGCTCACTCCCTCTGGTATAGGAGGGTGGGCAATGCACCCAGTCAACTGAGGAGCTAAGGATTTAATTCAGCTGGAATTTGGGGGCTGGGTATCTTTTTGAAATGAATTTCCACATTCTGATCTTTTCCCTGCAGGGACGCCATGAAAGATGGCGCCTTGCGGGTGTGGGCAGCGGGGCTGTGTGCACAGCCCATGCTGGAATCCACCAGCTGAAACCCACGTTTGCAGTAGGGAGGGGATCCTGCGAGGAGGGAGCCTGAGGTCCCAGAAGGCTGGGGGCACGTAGGAGATTCTCTGTTTCTCCCTGTCTCTGTCCCTTCCAGTCTCTCTGTGTGTCTGCACCTCTCTCTCTGTCTCTCCACCCGTCTCTTTGTCTGTCTGCCTTTGTATTTCTCTCTCTCTTTTTCTGTCCCTGTCTCTCCATCTGTCTCTCTCTATCTCTCTCTGTCAGCCCAGACCCTGGTGAACCACTTAGGTTGGGGACCCTCTGCTGAATAGCACGTGTCTTCACTGCTGACCGGTCTGCCGCCCTCAGCAGGTGCGGTCCTGCCCGTTTTGGGTCGTGTAATTCATTCTGCTTCTGCCTCTTTGCTTCAGAGTCTGCTGCTTCCTCTCTCCTCCAGTCCCTCTCTATTTCCCTCATTTAGGGGGAGGACCAACAGATGAGAGAGACATGAGAAGAGCAGGCTCCCTACTTAAGAGCACAAAGAGACTTTGAAACAGCCAGATCCTGATTCAAGGGGATGCTGTGTGACCCCTTCAGCAGGTCAGTCTCTGAGCCTCAGGTCCTCACCTGTAAATTAATAACGATAAAGATGCCTACGATTTCATAGCGGTCTCGCAATGGTTAAATGATACTGCGCATGCGGAGTGCTGAGGACACGGCCCGCCCGGCATGAAGGCTCGACCGCTAGCAGCCATAGCGGCGGCAGTGGTGGTGGTCTCGGTGCTGCTCAGAGGGAATGGTGGGGGCGTTGCCAACGAAGAGCAAGGCAGTGTCGGTGTCTGTGGACAATCTCCCAGGAGACTGTGGAGGAAGAGCTCAGGCGAGGGGTTGGGGAAGAGAGGCCCCAGCTTGCTGGCATTCCGGGTCTTGGAATCAGAGCAGGTGGGAGATGTGCTGATCCCCGTGGGGCGTGTGCCGCCGCGCTGGTCCCCGCGTTTCCTCTCCTCTCTCTGGTTCTGCGATTGGTATTTCTCACTGAGTAACAAACACTTCCGGAAGCAGCAGCTACTGGGCAAGGCACTCGTCACACATCATTTCCATCTATCATTCGAACAGTTTTCTGGGGTCGCGGAGGCTGCTGGTGCTTCCGAAGGTGAAAAACTCTCTCTGAGAGTGAAGTTTTAAGGATTGGGGTGTGTGGTGAGAGAAGAGAGGGAGAAGAATGTGTCTCTTGCTGAGTAAATTAAGGATAATTGACCTTTGATGGCTGGGATGAAGATGATGGCATCTCCTTTGATGAGAGATGAACATGGTCTAATAGGGTTTTTTTGTGGGGGAGGGGGCATTGACCCTGACGATGATTGACTGCAGGTACCCCATCTGAGATTGGCAGCAACACTGATGGCAGATGCTGAAGAACATTTTCGGGGAGGAGCCCACAGCAGTTGGGGTGATTGGGTGGGGCTCTGATTCTCTGAGGTTCCAGGGCCAGAAGCCCAGGTTAGATACATAACAGGGGCACAGAGAGGAGGCATACATTTGGGAGAAATGAGGATTGAGTAGCTAACTCTTTCACTTACAATAATTCAGCAAACGACAAATACAGCTCACATCTTTGATTCCAGGAGGCTGAAGTTAGTGGCGTTGCCGTAACAACTGTGGATGACACCAAACCTGCCTGAGGGACAGGAGTCTTCAACCAGGATGTAGCTTGTGAGTTCAGCCTTAGAGGAAGAACAGAACTTCCCATCTTTTTTGGGTAGACAATGTGGAGACCCTAGGAGGTCCCAGGACGAGCTGGACGTGAAGCTGGACGTGAAGCTGTGAAGGGCAGAAGGACCACTGCACTGTGCTGAGTACTCTGGCCTTAAGCCTGAAGGTAAAGAAGGGAGGGTTAGGCAAAGCACTGCTATCCATCGTTTAGAAGGCTCATTCCCACTAGTGGAATGAAAAAGGGATTGCAGGAAGCAGTTAGGAGCAGGAGGGCCAGGTAGGATCTGTTTTCATCATTCAGGAAGGAGAAAATGAGCATCTTGAGAGAAGAGAGCCTCTGGAGGCCGGAGGAGTTCCCGGCGGGACGTGGTGCCCAGTTGTACTTGAAGGAGCAGGAGTGGAAATTGACCTACCATGCCTTCCTGGTTTCCAGCTCTGGCCTGGGACCAGCTCCTCCCTCAGAAGAAGGGAAAGTTTGGGTTTGAAATAATGCATTTAGTTCAGGACTGGTGAATTGGAAGTCTTGGTGGAAATGCTTGGGGTCTGCAGCTAAGAGAAGGGATCAGGGCTTGAGATAGATTCAGGGCTCACGTCGGAGGTTAAGTCATGGAGTGGGTGCTGCCACTCAGGAAGGCTCTTGGTGATCATACCATGGAGAGGGTGGACCGTTCTTCCCCGGTCATTTTTTTCTTCTGTAACTGAGTCAGAAACAAGAGGCCCAGGATTACCATGGGTTTGTCCTGAATCCAGCCAAGAGGAAGAAATGGAAAACAAAATACAACAGGAAACAAAGGCTAGGGCAGGTAGGAGAGGGGTACCCATGTCTGTCAGCAGAGTTGGGAGGTGTGACCTCCCCCAGGGGTGGCGAGTGCAAGGGAGGAAGGTGGGCCCCTGGAAACCGGAGGTTCTAATGCTGCTCAAGGTTGGTCAGTAGAACGGGGACCCCTTCAGTCGTCATCTGTTCGAGAGTTCAGCCCCTTATCTCCATCACTGGAGACTGGAACCCGGGAGGCCTGGCTCCTTAGACACGGCGATGGGGTCCCAGATGGCTGGCTAGAAGAGCAGGGCAGGTGGACAGGTATGGCAGGTGTGAAAGAGACACACGGGTGCCTGGAAGTGCACAGGGCACAGGAGGCCGGAAGGGAGGCTGGACAGTGGTTCTGGCTGCTTGAATTCCTGGAGGACGTTGGGCAGGAGGAAATGAGGGGTGGAAAATCCTGGATTGGGGAGAAAGCACTGATTCCCTGGGGAGGGGGTGGGGGAAGCAACGGGTGGGCCAGAGAAGGCTGGGCGTAGGGTTCCCAGCCCAGGAGAGGCCAAGTACACAGTGCTGTCTGCAGCCTGCACGTCCGTCCTCCTCCCCCAGGTCCCAACATGAGCCACTGGCCTGCGTTGAACTGGACCACCCCCCAGCAGTTCGTAATCCTGGGTTTCTCCGGGTGGCCCCAGGGGCTACGGGTGCTGCTCTTTGCCCTCCTCCTGCCGCTCTATCTGGCCACGCTGGCAGGAAACCTGCTCATCCTGGGCCTGGCCGTCCTGGACGCCGCCCTGCACACTCCGATGTACTTCTTTCTGGGGGCTCTGTCTGCCGTGGAGGTGGCCTACACACTGGTGCTGACTCCGCGCATGCTGTCTGGCTTCCTCCTGCCTCCCGGGGGCCAGGCGGTGGTCCCTTCCACCTGTGCGGCCCAGATGGGCCTCTTTGTGGCCCTGGGAGGCTCAGAGTGCCTGCTCCTGGCCGCCATGGCCCTGGACCGCTACTGGGCCATCTGCCGCCCCCTCTACTACCCTCAGCTCATGACCTCGGGGCTCTGCTGGGGCCTTCTGGCCTCCTGCTGTGGAGGGGGCTCTCTCCTGGCCCTCGGCCTCACCGCAGCCGTATTCCAGCTGCCCTTCTGCCACGGGGGCTTGGTCAACCACGTCTTCTGTGACCTCCCGGCCGTGTTGGTGCTGGCCTGTGGGAACCGGGACCTGCAGGAGCGGGTACCGCTGGCAGCCTGCCTGCTGCTGCTGGTGCTGCCCCTGGCCCTGATCCTGCCGTCCTACACCCGGGTGCTGGTGGTCATCCTCGGGGTTGGGGGTGCTGCCGGCCGCCGCAAGGCCTTCAACACTGTGGCGTCGCACCTCACCGTGGCTGTGCTCCACTATGGCTGCGCCACGGCCATGTACGCCAGGCCCCTGAGCAGCCGCTCCCTGGAGGAGGACAAGCTGGTCTCGCTCGTCTACATCAACCTCACGCCCCTGCTCTACCCGGCCATCTACACGCTGCGGAACCGGGACGTGCAGGGCGCGCTGCAGCGGGTGGTCAGCCCCCGGACGCCGGGCACTGTCCGCCAGGCTGATGGCACCTAATGCTGGATGCCAGGTGGTGTCTGTTCTGAAATCTAGCCCCCTGGATGGAAACCTCACATTCTAGAACCATCTGTGACTCCCCAAGGCCTACTGGACACAACCTGAGTGCAGCAGATGAGAACTCTGACAATGGACTGAAGCCTAGTTCTTCTGCTTTTATTGACATTTTGAGCCGGACAGTTCCCTCTGGTTGGGAGTCATCCTGTGCACTGTAGGCTGTGTTTAGCTGCATCCTTTGTCTCTACCCACTTGATGCCGGCAGCACACACCTCTCCTGCACCCAAGTTGTGATCATCAAAAATGTCGCCAGACATCGCTAAACATCCCCTGGGGGCAAAATCACCCCTGGTTGAGAACCACTGCTCCAAAATGCAGCCACACAGCAGCTTTTGAAGAGAAGTGAGTACTGATGTACAAGAAGTCTGTGGCAGCGCTACTTATAATAGACAAAAGCTGAAAGCAATCCAAATGTTTGTGAACATAGAGTAGATACAAACAGCCTGTGGCATGGTCATGCAATCGAATACTACACAGCAATGAAGAAGAATGAGCTACTGCTGCTGGCAAAAAGTAAGGACAATACGGATGTAATAGCGCCTAAGAAACAGGACACACAGAACACGTACTGTAGGCTTCCCTTCAAATAAAGGCCAGTGACAAACTAATCTATGGTGGTTGGTGTCATAATCGTGGTTAACTGGGGGAAGGTTACAGGTCAGCAGATGGCACAGGGAGATTGCCTGGGCACTGGAAATGTTCTGTATCTTGACTTGGGTGGTGATTACATGGGTGTATGTGTATGCATATATGCAAAACTTCATCAAGATGCATACTTAAGATCTGTGTAGTTTGCTGTATGTGAAATAAACTATGGCTGATTCAAGCTATTCGCAAAGTAAGGCAAGCCTTCACTCGTGCTGCTTAATGCCCCGATGCCTCTTTCTAGCTGTGAAAATACTTCGTATTATTTAGCCACAGCCTGAGTACTGTACCTGCTGTAGGCTGACTGTTGGTGTCTCCCCCAAGTTCATATGTTGAAATCCAGTCCCCATTACTCGGTTGTTACTGGGGGGTGCAGTCTCTGGAGGCAGTGAGGTCATGAGGGTAGCGCCCTCCTGAATGGGATTAGTGCCCTTATGAGAGAGACCCCAGAGACTGCCCTTGCCCCTTCCAACATGTGGGGACACAGCAAGAAGGCAGCTGTCTATGAACCGGGAAGCAGGTGCTCACCAGACGCTGAAGCTGCTGGCGCCTTGATCTTGGATTTCCAGCCTCCAGAACTGCTCTATGATATTCTGTTACAGCGGCCTGAATGACTAAGGCAGCGTGCCTTTCTCCCCGTCTCAGTTACAGCTGTAGTCTCTAAAATGTAATTTTAGCATCTGCTTCCTGTCCCCCTCCCCTCCCCCACCAGTTAGACTGAGCTCTTTAAGCCAGATTTCAGATCCAATTCTTCAAGATCCATGACCTTTCTTAATAAATGTTGGAGGAATAAGTCTTAGATGGGCTCTGAGTTGTTTTGGGGTCTCACCTATCGGCCCTAGGGCGGGGACGCAACTCTCTCGTCCTGCCAAGGACGGGAATCTGTAAGACTGACTCCTCCTTGGGGTCTTTTCTCAGCATCTCAGCTGGCAACTTGGACCCAATGTACCAATGCAGGGAGCCTCAGAAGCAACACATTTGTCACTTGACATATTAGCTGCATTCAGAGACCTTGATATCCCTGACTGTTATCCCTGGGGCCTGAGTTCCAGAATCCATGAGTAGGAACTTTTCCTAAAAATGCCTCCTGAAGGGTCCATCAGGAACTGGAAGTCTCAGAGCCAGGATCAGCGTGGGTAAATCCTGCCTACCTAACCTCCCGTCTGGAGAAATTGTGCATCTATGAAAACTGATTTGGAACCTGGGACGAATTATATGTGTGCAGGTCACGTGGGACACTAGAATGATCTATCAGCTCCTGAGAAATCTTGTGAAAGGGGGTCTCTGTCCCTGCTGTCTGCATTCTTACCTTCTGCTTCTCCTTGGGGCTGGCACTTGGGAACTGAGGCACACAGGAAGCCCCCCCACCCAATTCGTCCCCAAGTCCTACGGGTATGAGGAAGTCCTTGCTTAAGAAACACTTGGGAGGGGCAAGCATAGCTCAGCGGTGGAGTGCGTGCTTAGCGAGGCCCTAGGTTCAGTCCCCAGTACCTCCATTAAAAAAAAAGGCCGCCAGCTGTTCTAACAGGCCTGCCCTATTTGTTCCAGCGCATCTCCTGAGGCCAGATTAAGCCCAAGAGTTCCACCAGCAGTACGAGTACCCACGCTGTCCATGATGAGAGTAAAGGTAAGACGGGGCAGGGGCCCTTGATCCCTGGGTTCTTTTAAAAGGTTATGCATTTTGGGTCTTTGGCAATATGGCTAGTGGCCCGTGATGGTGAGTGGCAGTTCCAAGCCCAGACTTGGACACCTTCGACAGCTTGCTGGTCCCTCTTCTCTTTCTCCCGCTGTACAAAGTCTGAAAAGATTCTGAATCTTGAGACGCATTAAGTTTCAAGTTGCAGTTTATTTATTGAGAGATAATTGATACGTAACATCATATTGGTCTCAGGTGTACAATGTAATGATTCGATACTTGTATACGTCACGAAATGATCACCACAACAAATCTAGTTAACATCCATCACTTGGTGTAGCTGGTGAATTTTTTTTTCTTGTGTTGAGAACTTACTGTCTTGGCCACTTTCAAAGCTGCGATAGAGCTTCGAGTTTCAGCTTCTAATTCTCTATGACCCCGCACTGATTTGGCCTTCAAGATGTTACCAAACATCCCTGAGGTGGACTCCCAGGCAGCTGGACTCCTAGGCGGCTGCCTCCCCTCAGGGTGTCCCAATCAGCCCCACCAGCGCAGAGACGGCAGGATCACTGGAGCTGGGACCCCGGGGCCTAGAACCAGCGCTTCAGCGAGCTGGGGGCTGCAGGATGCTCACGCGTCCCAGCCCTCACCTGCCCCTGCAGGACCTTTTGAAAACCATGGCCAATTCTCTTAAGAGTCGACAGCTGGGTCTGCGCTTGGACTGGGGAAATACCCCCAAGTCTTAATGCCTGCTGGGGGTGCTCACCCTCCATGGGGCATTGACAGGTGGGAGACACCTGCAGCACCTCAAGCCAGCTCCCAAGAGTGTTGCTCCAAAGAGGGCTCTGGGTGCTCCTCTGGGAGCCTGCCTGGGGGGTGGAACGGGCTCCACATGGGCAGCAGCCCCTGTGCAAAGCAGCACCCACCAACGCCAGCAAGCGTGGGGCCCTCCGGTTGCAACTCCCACTTGGGAAGTGGGTCTGGGGGAGGCAGTTAGCCAGCCACTCACAGCTAAAAGGTGTACCTCCACCAGCCAATTGCAAGACTCTACCATCTTGTTCCCAACTGCCATGACTTTATTAAATGAACACTTGTTAAACGGAACACAGGGTGCAGAACAGTGAGTGGGTTCCACGAGAGACCACAGAGAAATAGATGAGTTTCTGACTCACGGGGCCTGGACCAAGTACACAGCACCCTGGGGGGGGCCACAGGGGAGGTCGAGGCAGAGTGCAGAGACTGGACTTGGCACACGTGCCTTTACTAGAGTCCACGTTGGGGGTGCTTTGGGGTTCCTAGGTTAGGACCAGATCGGTCGATTCAGACCCAAAGAGCGGGGTTTGGGTAAGCTCACGGGGGTCCTGGCTAAGGGGCACATAAGGCATTGCAGGCACTGGGAGGCAGGAGGCTGCTGGCCACAAGGGCTGCGGGGAAGTCACACTGGGGACTTACATCTGCTGGTGGCTGAGCGGCTGCGGGGCTCATGTCAGTTAAGGCCCCTGCAGCCGCCTGACCAAACACGACTGATGACAAGGCAGTAATACCACTAACGGCTTAGCTGAACTCTCGACAGAGAGACATCCGGCCCACCTGGAGGTGGGTTGGTGTCTGGTTCTTCAGGCAGACGCTGTCGCACTGCCTCCATCTGCTAATGCACGGCTTTGCCGCGTCTGGGCCAGGACGTCTCTGAGCGTTTACTTTTCTTCCATGTTTTTCCCTCTTGTCTTTCAGGAGCTCCTGTTTTGCTCCCCCCTTTTTCACGTCTCTCACCGGTTCTTTCACATTTTCCATCTCTCTATACACCGAATTCTGTGAATTTGCTGAGCTCTGCCTTCCTGTTCACATTTTCTTCAGCTGAGTAGGACCTGCTATTTGACATGTTGAATAATGTTGAGTTTGTAGTTTCAGTGACTGTACCTTTCACCCCCAGACACCCTATGTAGTTCTTTTTCCAGATAAACCAGTTCAGTTCTCCTTCTTGGTGTCTTTGCTTTCATGTGGTTTCAAGTTTTTGCTTTTAATCACTTTTTAAAGACAGTCATTTTTATAGAATTTCAGATTTTTCTCTTACCGAAAATACTTGAGATTCTTATGTTATGGAAATGTCTGTCGACTTCCCTTGCAGTTTGTAACTCTGAATTATGAGCTCATCTTGGGTTTGTGCACATCAGAATCTTGAGAAACATGGGTTGAGGGTATCTTCCTTCAAGAATATTTTGTTTGGTTCTGGAAGTTGTTTCAAAGACCAGGATAAATTTCTATGTTAATTGTGCAGTTTTCCCACCAGGACATGAACAGGGCAAATTCAAAATTCTAACTCATACGAGGTGCAGGTCACGGCTTATGAATCATGAGGGTAAACTCCCTACCAGAGCCCGGGAGAGACAGACAAGCTTCCTGTGCAAATGATTAGAGTGTTCTCTGGTCCACCCTTTCCCTATAGGTACGGGCTTTTGAAACTTCTGAAAGCGTGAGTTATATCAGTGCCAACCTTCTGCCTGTGGTCTTGAACACCCAAGCTTCTGGGTAAACAAAATTAAACCCACAGGGCAGTCCAGCATCAGCTCACAAATTTCTCAGTCCTCTCTGTCCAGCTGGTACCTGGAAACCTCACTTATGTTCTTGCAGGCTGAATTATGCATGTAAAAGAATGTGATCTGTTACTGTCCATCATTACTTGTTGTTTACAGTGGAACATTTTGAACTTCATTATTATTTTTTAATGGAGGTACTGGGGATTGAACCCAGGACCTCAGGCATGCTAAGCACATGCTCTACCACTGACCTATACCCTCCTCTCATTTTTCACTTTAGATGGTCCACCCTATTGCCAGGGAAAGGAGTCCCAACCTTACGCATTTAACATAAAATATAACTTATAAACTAGTTGATTGAGAGATATCAGAATTATGTCATGAAACTGCTGGTTTCCAGATCGGGGGTGGGGGGAAGGGCGGCTCTGTAATACTCGCCAGCAAACAAAAAACCGAAACGTCTGTGGTTTGGGGTATGGACCTCTGGTTGGGCAGTAAACTCATATTGTTCCAGTTATAATACATCTTACAAAGACAAAAGGGTGTCATTTAGTGTGGAAACTCTTGATAGTGTTCACTCTGTATATTTGGGTGTCTGTGTCTACAAGGTCCCAATTATGTTCAACTGCAAATGCAGCTCAAAAATAAGCAAGATAAAATTATTCTTCTGTAGCATCCTTAGGAACGTAACCCCTACAGGCCTGTGGGATTGTTCTGTTGCTTATTAGATCTGTTGTCTTAATGGTTTAAATTACTCACTTACTCCTGCGTTCCAAATCCACAGGTAATACAGACACAGATACTCTTCATAAATAAGTCTCTCCTATAAAAATAGATCACCCCAGGGCATCAGTACCCTTCTGCCCTTAGTTTTAAGAGAACAGGCTTTTCCTAATTCTCCAGATGGGCTGGATTTCGCCTTGGTATGGCAGGGGCGTTGGACTTCCTGCTGAAGGATTTTTCCGTGTCCACAGAATCCACAGGTTTTCATCCCGAGAGGGGCTGGGACTTGCCGGTGAAAACCTCCTCCCTCCCGCACTTTATCCGTACAGTTTCTCCCTGCTGTGGATCCTGTGGTGTCGGATGAGGTTGGCCTTCTGCGAGAAGGTTTTGCCGCAGTCGGAGCACTCGTAGGGCTTCTTGCCCAGGTGGGTCCGCCGGTGGATGATGAGGCAGGAGTTCTGCGAGAAGGCCTTCCCGCACTCGCTGCACGCGTAGGGCTTCTCTCCGGTGTGCGTCCTCCGATGCAGGATGAGGTGGGACTTCTGGAAGAAGGCCTTCCCGCACTCGCTGCAGCCGTAGGGCTTCTCTCCCGTGTGGATCCTGTGGTGGATGATGAGGCAGGACTTCCGCGAGAAGGCCTTCCCGCACTCCTTGCAGCCGTAAGGCTTCTCTCCCGTGTGAGATCGGTGATGTTCGATGAGCCGCGACTTGTGGGAGAAGATTTTCTCACATTCTGAGCACTTGTAGGGCTTCTCTCCAGCCAGAACTGCCTCGGGTAGGGAGAGGCTTGTCCTCTGGGGGAGCTTCTTACCGCCTTTGCTGGCGCCCCCGGGTTTCTCTTCTGTGTGGCCTCCCCGCCCTCTGTTGAGGGAGACCCTCCCCTCCCTGAGGCTGTTCCCTTGTTCGTTGCATCCATCGGGTTTCTCATCTCTGTGGACTCTCTGATGGGCGATGAGTTCTGATTTGTGGGAAAAGCCTCTCCCACATTTGGTACATTTGTGGGGTTTGCTGTTGGTTCCCTGATTGGCATCAAGGGCTTGGTCCCTGCTTAAAGCTTTTCTGCACTGGTTACATTCACGGGGCTGCCCTTCAGAATGTGGGGTTTCCAGCTTAGAATAGAGAAATAAGTTCCCCTGGCCATCATACTCAAATCTCCTTCTTGCAAGGTACGCGTTAGGAGTAATGTCCACGTTTCGCGGTAAGGTCGAGCCACACGACTCACACTTAGGGACCCGCTGATTTGAAGGAAGGACATTTGTGTCTGGACAGGTGTTTTCCTCAACCGTATTGCCTTCACTGTGCTCTCTGGGGGTCAGTTTTTTCTTGTCTGGGAGTGCAGCTTGCTTCAAGAGTTTGCCTTGGTGTTCCTGCTGTCTGTCACGTTGGGCATCAACTTGCAGAACTTCTAGGAGGAAAACAATAAATAACGACAGCAACTGGTGAATCTTTCTAGGGTCACATCACAGAAATAAACTTTCAGAAATGTCTGGAAAGAGGATTAACTTTGTGGTCTCACACCTGATTGCCTAGTTTAATAATCCTAACCCTGATCCTACTACACGCACTTGTTTGGCTTCGGAAAAGAAAAAAAATGAGATACTAGAAATGGAAAAAACCCCAGGACACTGGCAGTGAATACAGGAAGCTCTGCTGTTGGCACGTCTGGCACCGTAAGTTGGGAAGAAAGTGAAAATGCACGCGAGGAAAAGTGAGTAAGAGAAGAGCGGAAGGGAGCGTGGACTCGGGGCATTGCTGTGCCGACGGACTGGTGCGCCAAGAGGAAACGAAACCTTCGTCAATGGCATTTACCGATTTCCATGCTGAAAGCATCCCCTCCCAAACCCCGTGGCCAATTTCAAGCTACCAAGATGATGGCACTGAGTGCAGAGCTGGGGGTTCTGCTACAGTTGCTGTCATGGGCCGGCTCTAGCATCCCTGGGTAAGGGGGAGACACAATAAGGTCCCATCAGGAGATACGGAGTTTTAGGAACTATGAACAAAGCCTAAGGAACAACTAGGCGGGGAGGGTATAGCTCAGTAACAGAACGCATGCCTGGCATGCACGAGGTCCTGGGTTTGATCCCAGGTACCTCCAGCTATATAAAAACTGAACAAACAAACCTAACCCTCCCCCCAAAAAAACCAAAAACAACAAAGAAACAAACAAACAAAAAGACTAGAATTTCTGGGGGAATCTAGGAAGAAGGGTGTTTAGGAAATACGAGCAAAGGACTCAGGTGGAAGGAAGTGTGAGCTCCTCTCGCTTGATTCCTAGGTTGCAAACAGGCTCTTCACTCCTGTCCCTCCCACCTTGATGTCCCCTCCATCCTGTTGACCAAGTTAATGTTCTCAAAGCATTAAGTCTTTTACTGTTAAAGGAATTCTCCTAGAGCCAGTGGTCCATTCTGCAGGGATTCATTCTCACATGGGCCTACACCATCTTCATGATGTCCAGGATACAGACACAAAGAGAAGGACCCTACGGTCCAGACCAGAATGCAAGCCTGCCTTGCCCCGGGAAGATTTCCCCTTGTGTTCTGATTGCTCAGATGGCCAAATCCCACGTGTCCCCTTCACACACGCCCCACAGACTTGGCTGCACAGCTGGCACTGAACGCATCCTAACCCTCCCTGGGCAGGTGGGTTTCCGCATCTCTGTGGAATCTACTTGCAGAAACTCAAATGTCCGATTCTTCATCCTATGCTTAGATCTGTATTTGCTTTTATCTTCATTTACGTTTTAAACCACAAATGTCCCACCATTTCACCTCTGGCCCCCATACCCAGTGCACTCATGGAACTCCTTTGTCGAGAAATGTTTATGTTCCCAGAGCTCAACGGCTGAATTCCTAAGAGACAAAATCAGTGCCTACTGATCTTCCTAAGCAGGATTTTCTGGGTTGGGACCCAGCCAGGGAGCATTTTTCAAGTTCCTCCAGTGATTCTCTTGTACACCCCTGATTAATAACAACTGCCCCAAACAAATGCTTGGTAAAGGATCCTTGTCCTAAAAGGTGGAGGGAGTTAATCAGTGTCCACCATGTGTGTCCCACAGAAATAAGGCCGAATAAAACAAAGGCTCTGCTCCCCGATGGGACTACACTGAGACGGAGAAAAGCTTCAGGTATAACCTGTCAGACAAAAGGGGGATATATGACATGGTTTTGCAAGAAGAGGAACTTAAAGTCATATAAAAAGTAACAAATAAGTTTTTGATGCATTTAACAGTGAAAGAAGAGAAAGGACAAAGGACAACTAAAATTAAAATGAGTGGCACAAAATAACAGGTGTTTTAAAAGAGGGCAAATTTACCAATCCCTGAACGCATGAGCAATCCTGTTTCATAACCATGGGGGCAAGCGTGAGCCTAAAGATTCCAGAGAAAGACTGAGAAAGCAAGGTCTTAGAAGGGGCTGGCAGAGTAGAATGAAAGGATAAAATTTAAAAGAGTATGTGTTTATCTAAAATCTAGGGAAAGGTGAGAAATCATGTAGTGGTGATGTGTGCAGGTAGCAGGAATCACTTGGGCATCTCAAGGTCTTGAACCAAATGCCTACAGCTGCTTGCAAAGATTCAAGGTTTTTAAGAACAGTTGCCCCAAACAAAACAAAACATCAAAGGTTCTGTCTCTTAGAACCTCCTGTCCCCTGCCCCCCCCCCCCGGGCTGGTCCTCTCTCACCTGGAGAGCTCCATCGGAGCATCTCTTCCTCCTTCATCCATGGTTCCTGCCCCCGCTCCAGCCTGGAGATCACAGCTGGTTTGGTTACTTGACACCCTGTTTATGAGAAATAGTTACAGGATTTACGATGGGCCACCTTGGCCGTCCATGGAGGCAGAAGGCTCAGGCCACACAGCGAACAGTTACATCTCAGCCAAAAAGTAGCTGTCTCACTTGGGAGGAAGCTTCACAAACAAATAATCCAGGTGAGATGAGAACAGGGCCTGTCGATGACTGAAGCCCAAGGCCACACACTTTCATGACTTGAGGGGTTTTACGTAACTGAGGACAGAAAGGCCCTCGGACACAACCAGGGGACATGACAAGTCTTCCTCACCCACGGACACCAGGTGGCTGTAGTTCTCCAGCATCACTTCCCGGTACAGGGTCTTCTGTGAGTCATTCAGCTGCTGCCATTCCTTACGGGTGAAGCCCACAGCCACGTCTTTGAATGAAAATGACCCCTGGAATGGCACATTCCTGATTAATCTGGAATGCTCAACAGAGTGTGATGGCAAAGGTATAGAGGAGATGGATCTTACCACCTCTGAAGGTCAGGTTTCCCCATGTTAAATTATATAGGAAACTTAGCATGCCCCTAACTCTGTACTACATTTTCTGGGAGAGAAAAAAAAAGATCATTAGAAAATATCTCACTTCTGGATCTCTAGTCATCCACCCATCCATCCACTCATTGAGTAAGCAAGCAACTATGGACGACCAGGTGTGTTACTGGCGTTCTGTGTGGTGCTTGGGGTTGAAAGCTGAGTGCCACCACTGCTCCTATTCGAAGGCATTTGTAGTCTGGTGGAGTGAGATGGACATCAAAGGCTGCTGTATAGTAACATGACACTCAAGGTTATGATGGAAGTACATTTAAGTACAGTGCAGACACAGAAGAAAACAGTCAAATTCACTGTCCCGATGTCAAGGTAAGCTTCACTGGAGGTTGCATGTGAGCAGAATCATGAAAAATAAAGTGTGTTCTGATGTTGGAAGGATATTCCTATCAAGAGGCATGGCATGAGCAAAGGCAAGGAGTCATAGGAAAACCTGGGAGGAATTGCAAATGGTTGGGAATGGCGGTATAGAGTATGGGAGATAGAGAGAGACGGAGAGGGAGGGGGAGAGAGAAGTCAGATCACAGGACAAATGAAGGGTTTCTTCCCTACAGGCAACATGGACGCCATCACAGTATTTAAGGAAGGGAATTACAAGACAATCTGATGTAGAAGATCACTGAATGACTGAGGTGGAAATCACTGGGAGGGAGAGAATAAATAAAATTTGGGTACAATTATAGTCATTGATATGAGATATGGTCAAAATTAATGTGGTAACAAGAGGAAAGCAGAGAAAGGATTCCACGTATATAGAACAGGGCTTGGCTCCCCTTCCCCCTCCTTCTCTATGAATGAATTAAGGAACAAAATTACAATTTTAATTTGTATAGAGTACCGTATTATGTATATAATGTTAGTGTGTAAATCATTTTAAACACTGGTTTAGAAGTTAAAAGGCAAAAGTTTAAGAATAATTGTAATCACAGATGTGTTCATGGGAACAATATAAAAGGAAGTAAAATCTGTCATAAATAACAAAGTGGGCGGGAGTAAACTGTGGAGTTTCTGTATGTGATTGAAGTTGTTATCAAGTTAAAAATAGACTCTTATACCTATTAAATATTCAACGCAAGCCTCATAGTAACTACAAAAATCTGTAATAGATACACAAAAATAAAGAGAAAAGAATCGAAGTATATCACTACCAAAAAAATCCTCAAACCACAACAAAGGCAACAAGAGAGGAAGAGATGAACAAGAGAACGATAAAACAGGAAGCAATTAACAAAATGGCAATACTAAGTCCTTACCTATCAATAATTGCTTTAAATATAAATTAACTAAACTCCCCAAATTAAAACACATACTATAGCCAAATGGAGTTTAAAAAAAAAAGGACTCACCTATTTGCTGTCCACAGGAGACTCACTTTAGATTTAAGAACACACATTGGGTGAAAGTGAAGGGATGGAGAAAGATAGTCCATGCAAAGGGTAATCAAAAGAGAACTGGTCTGGCTCTACTTATTTCAGACAAAATAGACTAAGTAAAAACTGTCACAAGAGATCAAGAAAGTCATTACATAATTCCAAAAGGGTCCATTCAACAGGAAGATATAACAATTATATATGCACCCACCATTCAAAGCACCTAAATATATAAAGCAAACATTGACAAATCAGAATAGTGAAGTAGACAGCAATACAATAATAATAGCATACGTAAATACTCCATTCTCAATAATGGATAGCTCATCCACACAGAAAACCAATAAGGAAAGAGCAAAACTGAACAACACTACAGACCAAATAGCCCTAAAAGATATATACAGAACATTCCACCTAACAGCAACATAATACTGATTCTTCTCAAGAGCACACAGAACATTCTCCAGGATGGATCACGTGTTAGGTCACAAAAATCTTAACAAATTTAAGAAGACTGAAATTATTCACAAAGCTAGAAATCAGTAATAAAAATGGGAAAAAATTTAAATACATAGAAATTAAACAACCACACATTTAAATACCACTGTGTCAAAAAAGAAATCAAAAAGCAAATTAGAAAATATCTCAAGACAAATGAAAATGAAAACACACAAACCAAAACTTACAAGATGCAGCAAAAGTGGTACTAAGAAGCAAGGTTAGGCAGTAAACACCTACATTAAAAAAATAAGATAGTAAATAAACAACCTAAATGTGCACCTTTAGAAAAAGAAGAAACTAAGCCTAAATTAGGAAGTTTTTTGGAAAAGATAAAATTGATAAACCCTTAGCTAGACTAAGGGGGGAAAAAAGACTGGAATATATAAAATCAGAAATGAAAGAGCAGATATTACAACTCATGCCACAGAAATAAAAAGGATCATAAAGACTATTATATACACCAACAAATTGAACAATTTAGAATCAATGGATACATTTAAAAATACCAACTTACCAGTGTGAATCAAGAAGAAATAGAAAGCCTTAACAGATCAGTAACAAATAAAGAGAATGAAGAAGTAACCAAAAAACTGTCAACAAAGAAAATGACTGAATTCTCCAAAAGTTGAAAGAGGAATTAATACCAATCCTTCTTAAACTTTTCCAAAAAACAGAAGAGGGAACACTTGCAAACTCATTTTATGAGGCCAACATCACCCTGATACCATAACCAGACAAAGACACCACAAGAAAACTAAGGCCAATATCCTTAATAAACATAGATGCAGAAATCCTCAATACTAACACATCAAATTCAACAGCACATTAAAAGAACCATACACCACGACCAAGTAGGATTTATCCCTGGGATGCAAAGATAGTTCAACATACGAAAATCAATCAGTGTGATTCACCACATTAACAGAATGAAGGATAAAAATCAGTCATCTCAACAGATGCATAAAAAGCATTTGACAAAATTCAACACCCTTTTATGATAAAAACTCTCAAAAAAGTAGGTATAGAAGGAACTTACCTCAACACAATAAAGGCCATTTATGAAAAGCCCACAGCTAACATCATACTCAATGGTGAAAAGCTGAAAGCTTTCCCTCTAAGTTCTGGAACAGGGCAAGGATGCCCATTCTTGCCTCTCCTATTCAACATAAAGAGTCCAGCCAGTGCAATTAGGCAAGAAAAAGAAATAAAAGGCATCCACATCAGAAAGGAGGAAATAATGTATCTCTTTTTGCAGATGATATTACTTTATTGAGTGCAGGATCTCAGAGATATCTGCATTCCCACTTCATCGCAGCATTATTCACAATAGTCAAGTGATGGAAACAACCTAAGCGTCCACCAGTGGGTGAATGGATAAAGAAAATGCAGTATGTGCATACAATGGAATATTATCCAGCCGTGAGAAAGGAAACCCCACCATTTGTGACACCATAAATGGACCTGGAGGACATTATGCTAAATGAAATAAGCCAGAAATAGGATAACTACTGCATGGCCTCACTTTTATGAGGAATCTAAAACAGTCAAATTCATAGAACGAAAGAGTAGCATGGTGGTCACCGGGGCTGGGAGGGGGAGGAAATGAGGAGGTATTGGCCCAAGGATTGAAAGTTTCTTATGGAAGATGAATAAATCCTGGAGATCTGCGCAGCACAATGCGTTGTACTTAAAACTGCACAGATAGTCCTAGCTTTATTAAGTACAGACACTCCCATCAAAACTTGCAGAGAATACAGATCTTGTGTTAAACGCTCCTACCACAAAAGAAAAATATTGTAATTTCTGTTAATTTTTGGAGGCAATGGATACATTTATGGCCTTGACTGTGGCGATGGTTTCACGTGTGTACACTTATCTGTGTTGTGTATATTATACTCAAGTTGTGTATATTAAATATGTAGATTTGTATGTCAGTCGCACCTCAGAGTGGTTTAAAAAATAATTTCTAGTAGTCACTTTAAACAGTACATAAATTTTAGTATCTCTTCTTTAACCTAATATATCCAAAATACCATTTCAGCATGTAATTTAAAATCCCTGATCTGTTTTCCCTCGTTTTATCATACCACATCTTCAAAACGTGGTGTGTATTTTCATTTAAAGCACATCTCCATTCAGACAGTGTTTTCAGTTCCACTTGGGTGAAAGGTAGTCCTACCAAAACAAAGTTGTGTTTCCTGAAAAAATGTTTTACTCTGATTCAGTTTTAAAATTTAAATGTAAATTAAAAACTCAGATCCACAGTCACACTAACCACACTTTGGGTGCTCCGTATCTACCTGTGGTTGATGGCCACCATAATGGACAATGCAGGTCTAAACTGCGTAACCACGGCTGGATTCCTTTGCTGGGGATATCCTATTCGCAGATAAAACTACAGTTCAGTCATTAAAGGCCCAGTTCTATCTGTCTCTCTGCATTCAGATCCCAACTCCACACCTAATGGATGTTAATATGTCTAAGCCTCAGTTTGTTCATCTGTAGAACAGGGGAAGGGATTAATGATAATATCTATCTCACAGGTTTGTTCGTGAAAGAATATATGAAAAACACAGAGACCAGCACGTAAGTGCTCAGCAGATAGTTTTATAAATTTTATTGTCGTTCTCTTTATTGCACACAGCCCTAACAGTGAGTTGTCCTCAGTGAGACTTGGTTTCCTACAAAACAACAGCTTCCCCAAAAGACACCAGTGAAACCCCCGTCATATATACATCTGACAGCCCCAAGTCGCAGTCAGCTCCTCTCTGCTGAGCAGGCTGTGGAGTCACCACCTTGTTTCAAACTCTCACGCTGGTCCTGTCCCCAGATGTTACTGCTATCCAATATCCACATAGTCCTAGCTTTATTAAGCACAGACACTCCCATCAAGACAGATCCCTCAACTAGACATCCAAGACCCTGTGAATGCTCGTCTTCCTGGGAAGGGGGGGCAGCTGACATGTTTATCTGCCAGGTTTCCTCTTCCTCTGGGACTAACATCCTCCCTCCCCACCAACCGAAGCACATGGCTGAGAGCTCCCCATGCAGACACAGCCTCTCAGCCCTTGAACTAAGCTGGGCCAATCCCGATCTTTCCCAGAGATCTTTTGAACTGGCCCTATGGGAGGAGACTTAATCCCATTCTACGGCAAAATTCATAAATGTGAGATTTCCGGCCACAAGGCAGGAAATCACAGAGGTATGAGAAAAGGAGTCACAGGAACAGGGACAAGGGAACAAGAGATTCCTGTCAGTAACTGAGCTCCTGGACATGACTCCCCCAGTCCCAGCGGCACGCCTGCTCTTCCCGGAGTGTGGGGCACTGCCTAGATTCTGTCTCTGTCCTAAACTATCCCTAGCTGGTTTTCAGGCTCCTATAGCTTCCAGGATTCTGACCAGTGCATTTCATGTTCATGCATCCCTGAAGCCCTGGAGAGGGAGGCCCTTTAGCAATAGATGCATTTGAGAATGACAGAAAACAACAATGCCATGATGTCTGAAGAAAGGTAAGATGACCAGTGAGAAAGGATGCAAGGGAGGTTGAGGGCAAATGGGTGAGGTCTAAGTTGTGGAGAGAGGACGGAGGAGAGTTTGGACCATCTGCCCTCCCACCCCTGCCCAAAATCGAAGCTTTGAGCTGTCCAGGCTCCGTCTGTGTCAAAACTTATGAACAACAGTTTGAAGAACATGCCGCTCATTTGTTCCCCTAGGTACTGCAGTGTTTTGTCTAGGTCAGTGTGAACCGTAACAAGGCTGTTTCTGTAATCTGAGTATTTTCATTCCCCAAACAACTGTAACCACAGATTTCTGCAGTGGCATAATACCCACTGTTTATGTTGGGGAAAAAAAAAAAAACAACCCAGGAGATTTGCTGTTGCATTTACTTGAACGTTGTTTTAACTGAGGAAACTGCCTGCTACATCTCACATGAGGACCCATCACATAAATGTCTAAATACCCAAAAAAGCCTCATTCCCCCTGAGAAGGTGATATGCTTGTCCCAGACAACACAAGTCATGTTGGATGGAATCTGTCTTTTTAAGGTGCCGGACATGTCAGACAGAAACGTGTAGGGCTGCTGACCACTCCAGCAGCCTCTGTGGGCCTGCGCCCGGCCCTTCCCCTGGCCCCGATCTGCATTTTGTTGTACTGGATGAATTCTTACAAGCACCCTGAAATGCATGGTAGACCAAAGGCGCAGTTTAAAGAAATGCCACACTCACCTGGCACATGGTCCTTCCCTGCTGTTCTGGGAAAAGCAGACACCTGTGGAGGCAGAGATTGGGGTGGGGGAGGAGAGGACGTGAGAGGCCAAGCTTGCCTCCGGCCTCAGATTCAACTGCTGCAGCTGCCACCCCAGGCACAGGGCGGTGGGGTGGGGGCTCCTCCCAAGAACCCCGTTATCAGAGCAAAGCCCTCACCCTGGAATGTGATGGGGAGCCCACCGTGAGGCTTGACCTTGAATTATTTTTCTACTTAATGAATACGCATTTCTGCGTCTCAGGGTTCCACGTGCAATGTATTACCCTCTCCCGCCATTACCCAGAAATTTAATTAAAAGAAATTTATTCTGAAGAAACAGTCATGAGTTCGGGCAAAGATTTAGCTGCCCAGATATTTATTACAATTTGGTAAAAACTCTGAAAAAATAGAAATAACTATCCAACTATAGACGACTAGTTAAAAGAATGTACCAAAGGGAAATATCATGTAGCTAATAAAAATAAAACCATAGAAGACTATTTATCGATAGTATACTGGCAATTGAAAAAGGTGGTTGAAAACTGTTTGATTCAACACACACACACACTCACTCACACTCACACAGAATCATCTCTGAAATGATGTAAGACAAAAATGCAAGTAGTAGTGAGCTTTGCATAGTTGGATAATGACTATTTTCACATTTTTTAATTTGTACTTAAATTTTTTAACCTTTTCTATGACCAACGGGCATTTCATATATGATTTCTGTAAAATTATTATTTAAAAAACATCTGTAGGCTACTCATCTTCTAACCCAAAGCTTCTATCACCAGTCCCACCCCTGGCATTGAAGAAATTCACAGGAAACTATAAAAATGGGTCCTACACGGCAGAGTCCATTCAGTGGCACTGAGCTAAAGCAGCTGGAGGTTTACGAGCCTGGACACTCAGTTCTGCGCGTGGATCCTGCTGAGTTTTGTTTGGTTCGCCTCCTCTCGTCGTTGCAACTGGTCACCAGTTAACTTATTATTAAGAACTGTCCTGGCTTAACTCTGCTGATCTCTGCCCAGGAAGCACTCCCGGTCTGGCTCTGCCACTTACCAAATATGGGACAAGATCTGATGACTTCTCCTGAGCCCTCCTCCTCCTTTCCTCATTTTCCCAGGGAACAGGAACACGAAGGTTCAGGAGCAAATTTACTGTGGCTGGAAGCATCAACTGGACCCCACACCTATCCTCTCCTGAATAGACATGAGGTCGGTCCTAGGTATGTTCCTACTCAGGATAGAGACACTGGAGTTTGATCCAAGAATTCTGCGGAGACACTAAAACTCTAGAATTACAGACACTCCATCAAGAATTCTGAGGGTGTTTTTTTTTTAATTGGAGACTACCTAAGTGCTTAAAAATAAGAGATTGGTTAATAAGTTATGATACAATTAAAGCATGCCAAGCTATGAGTCAACTTAAAATATTATAGAATAGATATTTGATATGGAATGACCTTCCAACAATACCAGCAGGTGAAAAATAGCAGGTGACATGGCGTATGATTCACAGATGGAGAACAGGAGAATGAATGGGATTTTCCCACATGCCTTAAATTTTTTGCTGAATCCTGAAACACCCCAAATTCCAAGGAGGAGCTGCCAGACACACCCTAACAGAGTCCTCCCTTTGCGAGAGGGAAATTATCAAAGGAGAGCTGGCTGTTGAAGGAGCGTACTGTGGGGCTTGTCTCCCAGCCTAGCTGAAGGTGGCTCCCCTCCAAAGGCAAGAGGTGGGGGACTTGAATGTTCATGGACCTGAAGGGAGCCTGAAAAAAGGGAGGACACCCCAAGGCTGGGTATGTATCCAGCTGCAGAAACTTCCCAGAGGTGCCCAGAGGGAAGCTCCTTGGAATATTTAGGGGGTACAGGCCCTGGAGGCAGGAGCCCCCCCATGGCGGCCAGGGGAGGAGGGGGGCAGGAGTGGCAGCCGCCGGCACTGCCTGCATTTGATGGGACAGGGATGCAAGGGTTCTCGGGGAAGCCAAGTGGATGGCGGGCTGCTGAGTGGGCCTGAACCACAGCGCAGGGACGCTGACCAAGCAGGCTGCTTGCAGGGTGAGGAGAGCTGGCTGTGAGGGGCAGGACCACTGAGCCCAGAACTGCAGGTGGGCACGGAGGTCTGCTCGAGAACCACTGCTGGTGGCACAGGCTGAGCCCTGCACGGGGGCCATCATGCGGCCTCCTGCACAGTGGAGGGTAGCCAGCGCTGGGCAGGCCACACCAAGCAGGGGGAAATCGGAGCTATTTTTCCTCTGTTTTCCCCACCCCACACCCTGACCCTGGAAGAGGAAAACCAATGAGAAGGAAGAAGTGAGGGGCAGAGACAGAACAGATCCTTCCCAGCAGGAGGTCCCAGACCTTGGGCTCCGCAGGGAGGAGGGAGAAGCTGGAACCAGGACATGAGAGTGAGATGTTCACAGACAGCCGGCAAGTGAGGGGAGACTGTTCTGTACGGTCACCTGAAGTGACTGAACAGCTCTGGGCTTCCCTGAGGCATCCTGCAGGGGGCGCACTCCAAGTTGAACTGTGTTCCCCCAAAAGATATGTTGGAATTTTAGCCCCCAGTACCTTGGAACGTGACCTTACTCAGAAACAGGATCTCTGCAGATGCCCAAGTTCAAATAAGGTCACTGGTGTGGGCCTAACCCAGTCTGACTGTGTGTGTCCTTATAAAGAGGGGAAATTTGGACACAGAGACACACAGACAGAAGACCATGTGTAGAGGAAGGCAGAGATCAGGTGATGCAGCAGAAACCAAGGAATGCCAAGGATGGCCGGCAAACCTCCAGAAGTTTGGGGAGGGGCCTGGAACAGGTCCTCCCTCACAGCCTCAGAGGGAACCAAATTTGCCGGCACCCTGACCTCAGACTTCGGGCCTCCAGGCTGTGTGAGATTTCATTTCTGTTGGGTAAACCACTCAGTGTGTGGTGCCTTCTGTGGTAAACCACTCAGTTTGATGGTGGCCCCGGGGAGCTAACAGAGGAAGGTGGACCATACAGTGTAGGTAAAAAAAAAAAAAAAAAAAAGGTAGTCTGGGACCCTCTGCTCCATTTCCTGTTCATCATCATGGAATGGGTTTTTATTAACAGATAAAGAATAACTTCTATAGAAAAAAGCAAAATGTTAACCACGTTTACCTCTGCATGGTAGGATTTGCTGGTTTTTACATTTTCTAACTTTTTAAACAATAAACGTGCTCATTGCTTAATAATGAAATATTTTATAAAAATATACATATATCATCTTACTGGGTTCTCTCTCCACGACCTCCTATCAGAGTCCTGCCCCTGGAGGAGAGGAAATCCGTGAGAAGGTCTGAAGGGGTGGAGGGTGGGGAGGGGCAGACACACAGGAGGAGGGCCCCGCCTGGCCTCCTCTGGACAGGAGCCCTGGGGGCCAGTGCTGGCTCGGCCTCTAGTAAGCTGAGTGGTTCTCAACACCTCTCTCACGCCCATTTTCTTTCGTCTTTAACAGGAGAAGGAAAAACGAAATACTCTTAGGTTAAGAAAGCAACTTCTGGGCCTTGACTCAACTAAAAAGGGGGTTACATGTCACGAGGAGTCGGGTATGGAGGTGACCGTGGGATGGGACGAGCTACAGCCCTAGCTGGACGCACAGCAGAGTGCGAGTAAACGCGCATGAGTGGGGAGGAGCCGATGGTTGGGGAGGTCCCTCTCTTAGAGCGTGAGGATCCCTTCCCTCCTAGTTCATGCTTTCACACCCTCAAGCAGGAGACCCCTCTTCTCCTAGCCAGCCTTCCCCTAGACCAAATCCTGGATGATCCCCTGAGGCGATGACATCACCCGGATTCGGTCCGCAAGCAGGTTCCAGGCTGTTCTCTGGACACTTGTGGGGGGCGGGGGACCTGCCCCATACTGCGAGCCTCCAACGTCAGCCCTGAGCTAAGGTGAGGTCTTGGGGGATCCTCCTTGCCAAAGAGATTACTGTCCTCGGGTCACCTTCTTTATGAGAATTATTCTATTCTAGGTTGCCTGGGATTTGGGGGTTGGGGGGCAATTCCGACTGCCAAAGTTCTGCTCTCCTGCTGGGAACTTACCGTCAGCTGGAGGCTGAGCTCCGGCCTCCGAGACTCTCTGGGGGCAGAAACAAGCTTGAATATGCAGACAGGACCGAGCCGCCTGAGCGACAGTCCGATGCTAAGCCTTTGCAAAGACACTAAGAAAACCTGAAAATAAATAGACGACATGGTGAGACTCACATGAGAACATTGGCAGGACGGTTTCCCTCTGAGCCGGAATCGACTGGGGGCAGCGGGGGAGCCAGGAAGGGCAGGAACACGAGAAGGAGCCCGCGTCTCTGGAAACCGACGTGGGGAAGAGGAGATGCTGCGGGAGGGCATTTGCTGCCCTAAAATGGCCAGAAACCGGCTTCCCCTGACCCTCACCGCGCCTGGAGCATTCTCTCTCCCAGCGCCCCGGAGAAGAGGCCCAACTGTCCAGCGCCTTGATTTTGGACTTGGAGACCCAAACAGAGAGCCATGCCTACCGGGACGTCTGGCCCCCTAACTGTGAGCTGCTTTAAATCCCCCAATTTGTAGTGATTTGTTACACAAATATAGAGCACTAACACAGACGGGGCGGGCGGGGAGACCACACAAAAAGACACTCCCTGCGCAGTGAAAGTCTAGAGGAGGGGAGGGGCTACCCCATCCTTCCAGAAATTTCTCTCCTGAGCAACCAAAGCTCTAGGTTGCTGGAGGAAGGGCAGCAGAACCTTGCTGCTCCCAGAGCACAGGTTAAGACCTGCATAGGGCAGGAAAAAGTGAAAAAGTCCTTTCTCCGTGTCAGAGGGGCAGACACAGGTCCCGGGCTCGGACTTTTAGAGCCTGCCACCTCCGGGGGACGGACAGCATCCCCGACAAGGCCCCAGCGCCCTTAAGACTGAGACAGAAAGAGGACCCTGCCCCTCCTCCACCAGGCCAGTCCGCACCGAGGAGCCAGCAGGAGAGCCCCAGCAGGAGGAGAGGGTGGGGTGGGGGCTCGGAGCGGGGAGCAGCAATCAGCCCGCTCTCAGCGCAGAGCAACGCCACGGAAACGCGAAGCCGGCGGAGGCCCACGGTAACCATAGCAACAACAAATGCCAGCCCTGCGCCCCTCCTGACCAGTCTCGTGGCAACCAGCCTCCTGCGCTCCTAGCCCCACACACAGTAACAGCCCAACCGAAGTCTCCCACACACGATGTCCGGTATTCATTTAAAAAATTAGGAGACATACAAAAAGCAAGAAAGAACAACTCGCTGGACAGAGTCAAAGCTACGACCAGAAGCCGCCTCGATCTTAGGTCCCTGTGCTCCAGCAGATGTACATGATGCATATGCAGCTCGAATGCACATCAACACTGACGCAACGCAACGAGGAGAAACTGACAATCTTCAATCACAGTAAAGAGGTTTTAGTATACATTTTTTGAAACGAAGATCTACGAGACAAAAAATAGTAAGAATAGATGATGTGAATATCAATTTAAAAGCCTGACTGTTGGATCACACAGAATGAACGCAATAGTTAAAAGAAAATACATTTTTAAGTGTATTTGAAATAGTTATAAAAATTGACAAATAAGCTGAGAAATAAACCTCAACAAATCTTTTAAAAATTACTATTACATAGATGGCCACTCTCTAAACCCAAAAGTAATAAAATTAGAAAATAAAAAGAATGAAAAAATTTGTAAGAGCTGCAAAAATACAACATATCAAAATTGGTGGATATTTACACACACATACTGAAAGGAATATTTACAGCCCTAACATCAGCATTACATTAAAAGTGGAAATTAATGACATTCAGTGCAAGAGTCTAGCACAGAAAAAAAAATAAACTCAAAAGATGTAAAAGAAAGAAATATGAGCAGAAATTTTAAAAGAAATAAAAGAAGTAATTGAGCAGGTTAAAAAAAAATCCTGCCACAAATTATTACCTGAATCTAATCATCTAATCATGATGAAACATCAGACAAATCTAAACTGAGGAACATTCTATAACTGGCTTGTATTCTTCAAAAATGTTAATGTTATTAAAACCAATGAAAGATTAGGACACTGTTCCAGAGTAAAGAAGATTAAAAAGACGTGGAGGGGGGATGCAATCTGTGATCTGAGATTCCTTTAGCTAGAAAGAAAAGGTATTTTTGAGACAGCTAGTAAAATCTGAGTAAGATCCATGGCTTAGACAATGGTTATTTCATCAGTTAATTTCCTGATTTTGATCATTATTCTGTGGTTGTGTGAGGGAATGCCCTTGGTTTTGGGAAATGCACACTGAAGTACTTACACACACACACATACACATATGTATAGGACAGGGAGGAAAAGCAGAATAAAAGCAAATTGTTACATAAATAAGCCAAAGACGGCCTCTGTAGAGTGGCCCCTGGGTTGTTTCTTTCTTCACAGCCGGCTGAGACCACTAGCTCAAAAGACCAGCAGCCCCAAACTCAAATGTCAACACATGTAAATGTTTTAAACAGAGTCCAAACAGGAGCAAATCTTTAGTCATTTAGAAGCTGCCTGCTTTACCTACCCTGTGAAACTGCACCCAGGTTCTGGTAGCTAAAGATAAAGTAAACCATGAGGCTACAAAGGCCCCACGCTGCTCTGACCCAAAGATACCTCCAGGTTGCCTTGTGCTCCTTCTTTCTAGGAAGTGGCCCCTGGCCCCAGCCTCCGGGTGGTCTCATGCTGCAAGGGCCCCCCTCCCCAGTATGCATGTGTAAATAATGTTTGCATGTGCCCCTGCCACCTCATGGTTACATCTTTTTCGCCCTGAAATCCCTCCAATTCCTGGAATCCCCTATACAAATGTGGTAATATCGAGGGGAATTTAGATGAAAGGTATTTAGGAATTCTTTGTACTATTATGACTTCTCTTTAATTCTGAAAATGTGGCCAAATAAAAAAATGAAAAAGAAAAAACTAAATTCAATTATTGGAAAGGATTTGTTACAACTAATAATTGTTTTGTATTTTAAACTAATAAAATAGACTAACCAGGCAGGACTGATCAAGAAAACAAGAGAAAACAAAACGAATTTTTGGACATGAAAAAGGAGACAATTACAGATATACTGGAGTTCTTTTCCTTAATTATGAGACTATTATAAATAATTTAATTCCATAAAGTTGAAATTAAATTGGAAAACTTTTCAGAAAAATACAAATTACTAAAATTGACAAAACAACAGAAAACCAAATATACCAAACCACTAAACATTAAGTGAACTGGATCCACACTCAAAAATATACCCATCAAAGAAACACTAGGTCCAATCAAATTCGATTCAAGATTTTTGAACAAGCCAAAATGGATTTGTATCTAGACTATATACTAAAAATAAATACGAAAACAAACAATCTAAAAGAAATAGAGGCAAAGGTAATGAACACACAACACAATCTTATGTATCATTTATGGCTACATTCATATCTAGTAAGTAAATAAAAACATGAAAGGATACATGGCAATTTCAGAAGTTACCTCTGTGTGAGAGGAAGGAAAAAGTAACAGGGAGGGTGCAAAAAGGTTTGAAGTATTTATGAGGTTTTAGTTGTTCAGAAAATCTGAAGCAAATGAACTTTAACATTTGCTCAATCTAGATGATGAGCACAAAGTTTTTTTTTCTTTTTCTACTTTGCTTGATGCATTTGAGATATTTTCTGTTACTAATTAGAAGTAGTAAAAAAAATTAGATTGCAGGAGTAAAAATAAATCTCCTTCAATAAGATCCAAGTTCATGGCATAATGAAAAAAAAACTGATACATTTGACCTTATCAAGACGTAAAATTATAATACCAGTTTTATCTTCCCCCCCAGCTCAAATCTGTCCCATTTTGAACAAAAAAGGCATCAGAGAAAGACAAATCCCCCATCATTTCTACATCACATCCCACCCTCCCTTGCCTTCTCTCTTCACCAACTGCCTTAAAAGAACAGTCTTCAACTAAACTTTCTCAGTCTGCAGATGCGTTCACACTGTCCCACCTTCACTCCCCCAGGCCAGGCGCAGCTTTGACTTCATAAATCCGAGATACAAGCCCCCTACTCACTTTTCTCACTACCTTATTCAACCGCCATCAACTCTAATTATTGCTGCTATAGGCCGACCGAAAAAACAAATATAATCGCGCCACTGCCTTAAGACTCTTCAGGCATCAATGGGACCCAGTCCACACCCCCTAACCTAGCCTGATCTGTCTGCCCCCTGAACCATTTCCAGCCTCACCACCCCGAGGCTCCTCCACAGCGCCGAAATCTAGCAGTACCCACTCGGTTTAAGCCTCTTACCTTCGCATATGCAGTCCCCTCCTCTTGGAAGACCCTCTTGCCCCCTTCCACCTACAGACCCTATTTAAATCTGATCTTTAGTCCCGCCTCCCCCAGGAGGAACCGACCTCCTCCTTGGGTATTTATTCATTGAGTAGAGGTAACTATCAGGGCACTCACGCACTGAGGACCCTTTTCTGTTCACATGACTGACATCTCCACAGGACCCCAGCCAAGGACGGGATCCAGTGCTTCCCTAGGACCTGACCCGACACTCAATAAAGGCTTGTTACATGAAGACCAACACTGTAGATCCCTGGAATAATCATTTCACAGCCTTCCTCAATTGCCCTCATAGCTCAGAGCCTACCCTTGGCGGCGATGTAAGGTCCCTGGGGCCAAGGATGTCACTGGGTACCCTGCGGTAGCCCCTTGCGGATGGCGGGCTCTGAAGTGGCTGAGCTGCGGGAGGTCAGAGAAGCAGCGAGACCCAGCCTGCCTGTGGCCCCCACCCCAACCCAGACAGAAACCCCGACCCTCTGCAGAAGACGTCAGACGGAGCCGCCCACCCGGACCCCCGCACGGAGTACCCCCTCCCAGCGCCCGCCTGGCTCTGCAGCCGTGGATTCCGCCACACGTGCCCTCTCTACAGCCGGGAGCCGAGGCAACCACTAGTCCGAGGTGCCGCGGAGACCTCAGAACCGACCAGGTCCAAGGTGCTGGACGCCACGAGACCAGCCTGGGGTCCGGAAGTGCGCAGATCACACTCGGACACCCCTGCACTGCGTAGGTGCCCCCTAGACTGTGGTGAAACTACAACTCCCGGGAGCCTCCGCGGCAAGGCACTTCCGGTCAGCGCCCAGGGACTTCCGGCCACGGGGTGGCTGGCGTGGGCGGGCACGCGTGGCGACATGGACGGGCACGCCTGGCGACGGGGACGCGCAAGGAGGCGTCTAACGTGGCATCCCTGGTGGGTCGGCGGGCTGTCAGTGAACACACCCTCCTCCACGTTGTTGCCAGGCGGCCGTCGCGCTGGCATTTTCGTGCCGAATCTGATCGCGTCTGGCGCCATTTTGAGAGCTGGGCTGTGGCTGCCCCAGACTTGGAGATCCCCACGGTACCAGCTGTGGGCCGCATCCAGAACCTCTGCTGTCTGGGATCTCCACGTCGGGTACTTTAGTTCATAAAAACGCCTGTCTTTCAGTACTCATGACAACGCCCGCAGTAGGTATTGTTATCCCCATTTTGGAGTTGAGGAACCAGAAGCAGCCTCCCTCTGTGTTTTTACTGTGGAGGCACCCTTGAAATAATTATCAGGTGTCAGGGAAACCTTCCCTAAATATTACATCGGGGGCTCATGATAGAATATGGAGACACACACACACACACATTCTGCATATATAAACCGGACAGTGGCTAGACCACATAGAAAAACAGAATGCTGACCTCCCAGCTCAGCAACCTACCCAGGAAACCAACCTCCTTGTCTACAATAAAAAGCCCAAGAGGCCAGACTGTTAATCTCTAGTCATCATCCAAGAAGCTAAACAGTAACTTCTATAGCCATCGGCTCCAAATGACCAGGACTTGATCGACAATTTGATCAATAACTAACAGCTTCCCTAATTTTTGTACCGACTTCTAGTTAGGACCAACTAGAGAAAGTCAAACGTGCTTCCCTAACCAATCACATGGGATGCCCCGCTTCTAGTTAGCCAGCCTCAGCTTCCCTATCCCAACAGCCTTCAGATAGGACACACCAGAAATCTTACTTTTTTCCAGTATGAAGTTTTCCCATTCCTCTGCCTGGCTTTGAGCCTGTGCTAAAACAAGTGACAGTGACTGACTCCTTTGCAATAACAAGCTCTGAATAAATAGACTTTGCCTGTTCTCATTTGGTTGGTCTTCAATTATTCCCAAAGATACAGTTAATGGTAAGTTTTTTTGGTAGGTTCTGTTTATTTTGGCTAGCTACTGTATCGTGAAGCTTTCCTCTCATCATTTGCCATTAAAATTTATTATTTAAAATTCACAAAGTGGAGGAAAAAGGAATTTAAACTTTAATGCTTTTCAGATTTCAGTGCAACACAAAAAAGAACTTTGTGATCCCTAGAGCTGTTGAAAAGTGTAATGGGGCTCAGGTGAAGGGTCAGAGGATATTGGAAGAAAGTTTTCCTTTGTAATAGTATATAGATCTGTGCTCTTCAGTATAGTAGCCACTAACTATATGTGACTGAATACTTGAAGAATGGCTAGTCCAAATTAACATGTGCTTTAATTGTAAAATGCCCTGAATTTTCAAGATTTGGTATGAAAAAACTGAATGTAAAATATCTTACTAATAACTATATAATGGTTCTATGCTGAAGTAATATTTTGGACATATTGAGCTAAATAAAACTATTAAAATTAATAAGTAAAATGTTTTTCATATGCTTGTATCATTTATACTGCTAAAGTTATTAAAGCTTAGAACTTTAGGATATCCTATATTACATAATGGTGTTAATAAATTTGACTTATATTGTTGCCGGTTTTGTGTGTACTGTTTAAACAACCAAATATGACATTGATCTAAAATAGATATTCTTTGTGGCATGTATCCTCTGTGTGTGTGTGTGTGTGTGTGTGTGTGTGTGTGTGTGTGTGTGTGTGTGTGTGTTGGAGGGGGATGTTAGGGGCAAAGAATGTCATTATGGGATTTTTAAAAACCTATTAAAATGGTCATTTAAGCTACTTACTAATTTGTTTGAATAGTAAGTTTCATATCAATTAACCTATTTTGCATTACTGGACACAACCTATAAGAATTTCTAAAATATACTGTTAGATTCATTCAGCCCATGCTCTTTTTCAAAAAAAGAAAAAAGTAATCTTATTCTTTTGTAACATGGGATTGCCTTTCCTTTTGTTTCTAATCCCTGTACTAGGTTTGGCCATCAGGGGTCTGAGTCCTTTGTCGGTTCAGCTACATAGCTTTCTACCTTTTGGTTTGTTTCTAGAGATAATTACAAACAATAGAAATTATCTCCTTAAAAAATTTTGAAAAGATTCATTTGTGAACCTTCTGAGGATAGAACCTTTTACAGAATAATTGTTTAGGGGTTTTATGTCTTGTGTTCTTTTCTTCCTTTTGAACCAATTTTGGTGATGCATTTTTTTCTTCTAAATTATCCTTTAATTCAGTGCTTTCAAGTTTTTTTTTTCACTCTGTTATTTATCATGTCTATTACTTTGAATTATTTAAAATTTCCAGATGTATTTTTAGAGTTTTCCAAGAATTGGTATTTCCTTTATATTGATTAGCACCACCAGAGATTTGTTTATCACTTATTTTTTTCCCCAAAGTAAAGCTTTGGATTTGTTTATTTTTTTTTCTTTTCTTCTCTGATGAGAAAGAAAATAAAACTCATTGCTGTCATCTTCTAACACCAAGATTACAGAAACTACTTTAAAATAAATGGGGAAAGGAATCATTCTATTTCTAATTACAAAAGGAGAACTAAACACGAATGGAGCTATATTATTTAGGACATGGATAAAACTGCTGTAATAGAGACACTAAACAGTGCCTTAAAAAATCATGGGTGATTATTTCTCATAAACCCATCTGAGCAGCTGTGAGAGACTTAGAAAACTAGGCTTCTTCTAAATTACTACTCTACCATTTCTGGGGGAGGGTTCTTATCTATGTGATTCAAGATGGCCATCTGTTTCTTAAACAGCAGTAAGAAGAAAAAAGGAAGTACATGAAATTTCCTTTCTTTTAAGGGCAGAATCCAGAAGAAGCATGAGTCACTTCCTCTCACATCCCATTGGACAGGTCTTAGTCACATGATCCCTACTATTTACAGAGAAGACTGGTAAACAAAGTCTTTATTCTAGAGGGCAATATTCCTAGCTAAAAATTGGGGAAACTTTTACTACAGAAGCAAAGAATACATACTAAGAGATAACTAGCAGTCTCTGCCTAAGGAAAGCAGAAAGGGTTCACAATGTCACAGAGTAGCCAAACAAGTGAAGCAGATTGTGTCAAGTTAGACTTATCAAGTTAGACTATAGACAGCAATGAATTTTTTTCATTTTCCCCATTTCACTAGAGAACAAAATTTAATTTTCTAGGGATGGGGTTGGGAATGAGAAGCAGTACTAGCTACCTGGATATGCTAGATAGAGCTGGAGATGGGGGAATCTAACTGTTCTAATTATAGGTTTTTATATTTTTCAATTTATTTGAAGAACATAATAAACATATGACGTAACAAATCAAACAATACAAATATAAAGAGAAGGCTAATTCCCAAGCCAGTATATTCCAAAGTAACAAATATAAATAGGCTAGTGTCTATTTTTCTGTATAATTCCCCTGCCTCTATGTAATCACATAAAATCATACTCAGACCATTCACATTTAATATGATTATTAATATGGTTGGGTTTAAATCTCTCATCTTGCTATTTGTTTTGTTTGTGCCATTTGTTGTTCTCCTTTTCATCTTTTTCTGCCTTCTGGTGCATTAATTGAATGTTGTTTATGATTCCTGTCCTGGTCTCTTTGGGCTGCTGTAACAGAATACCATAGACCAGGTGACTTACAGTTCTGGAGGCTGGGAAGTCCAGGCTCACGGTTCCAGCATATTCAGTGTCTGGAGAGAGCCAACTTCCCAGTTCACAGACGCAGGGCTTTTCACCGTATTCCTACATGGTGGAAGGTACAAGGGAGTTATGTGGGGTCTCTTATACAAGGTTCTAATCCCATTCATGAGGACTCCACCCCCATGAGCTAATCATCTCCCAAAGCCCCCACCTCCTAATATCACTTTGGGGGTTAGGTTTCAACACACGAATTGTGGGGGGACACAAACGTTCAATCTATAGCAACTCCCATTTTATCTCTTGTTGGCATATTAGCTATAACTCTTTGTTTTCTTATTTTAGTGCTTGCTTTAGATTCATAATATCCGTTCTAATTTATCATAGTCCACCTCCCAGTGATATTATACGACATCATACGTAGCCCTCGCTGGCACTCTGTCCTAAGAACTCTAACTTCTTTGATCTCCCTGGAGTCTCAGGTCCATTTCCTCAACTCAAGGAGTCCACTGGACTTCACCTGGGTTACCCTCTTCATGCCCAAGCATGAAAACTTTCCCAAAGCTGTAACCTGGAATAATCACAGGGTTCCTTCATTTATTTCCTGGCTCTGAGGAATCGCTGTTCATTTCCTGATGCACAATGTCTCATAAATAATTGTTTCATACATTTTGTCTGCTTTTGTGTTTTTCAGGTGGAAGAGTAAATCTGGTCCGTGTCAGTCTATCTTCACTAGAAACAAAAGTTCATCTTCATCTTTGAAAGATAT